GGCGGGGCCTGGGTTGGTGGGCGGAGCAGGGAGCAAGGGGCCGAGGGCGGGCGGCGCAGAGAGCCACACTCTGCCGCTGGGAACTAGCGCGCGCCGGCTGGGCGCAGCCAGTTCCCAGCTGTGACGCCTTGGCAGGCCACCCAGAATCTCCAAGCCTCTGGGTCTTTATATCTAAAATGTGGGTGGTAATAGAGTCCACCTCCGAGCGTTATGTAAGGATGAGAGCTTGAGAAGGGACAGAGATAGAGAAACCGGGGCAAGGAGGAGGAGAGATGGGGGGACAGATGGAAGAGAAAGTCTACAGACAGACAGACATAAAGGGGTGCAGTGTTCAGTGAGGAGTAAGGAAGAGACTTAGGGAGGGCGATTATCCCCAAGCCAGACACTCTCTCTCACAAGCCAGTGGGCACCTCCATGATCCAGTGAGGCATTTTGTTGGTGGAAGGACAGAGTGACCAGGGGTTAGGCACAAGGAAGCAGAGCCCCCTAGAAGGAGCATGAGTAGGAGGCAGAGTGTGCAGCAAAGGTCCTGGGGAGGTCTAGGAACCCTGGGACAGGGGAGGGGACCTGAGGAGGGAAAGGGCAGTGACCCTAGGAAGGTTATGGACCCTAGGAAAGAAGTCCAAAAGAAGCCAGGGGAACCACGAGGAGCCCCTGCTCTCCTGGGCCCAGCTGATTTGGTTCTCTGACCTACAGGGCCAGCATCTCCACCAGGCCCCCCAGCGCCTGTGCAGATAGGCGCAGTCAGTGGCATAGCGGTGTGAGCAGCTCAAATGCCATTCACACTCGTGGAGACCCAGCCCCTTAGCTGGACAGAGCCCAGTGTCCAGAGCTTTGCCAGAGGGGCTGGGCTGGCAAAGGTTCCTCTGCGGGTAAGCTGTCAGGAGATCCAGGGTTGGGGACAGTCTATCAGCCACACCTGATGGAGCACAGATGAGATTCTGGGACTGATTGTGAAATGTCTGATTGGGATGCCTTTGGGAGCAGATTCAAGGGCAGGGATGCCAAAGTCAGCAGAGCTGGGTTTGAATCCTGGCTCAGTCCCCCTCTGGCTCAGCCCCCTTCACTGGCTGTGGGAGATCACCTTACTTGGGACCCTCAGTTTTCCTATCTATAAATTGGGGTGAATGACGCCCTGTGCCTCACGTGACTCAGGACAGCTGCTCAGCAGTGATTTGTTCTCCCTTTTCTTGTGTACAGGACATTCAGAGGGAGGCTCAAAGAGAGTGTTGTCTGCTCGAGACAGAATAAAAATAATAACTAGAGGTCCTCCTGTGTGGCTTCTGTAGGAAGATGACGACAACATTGTGAATATGGAATTCGCAATGTTGCCAAGCGGGGAGCATCTTTTCACTAGAAGGGAGCAAGCAAAGGTGTTGAATGCCAGATTACAGAGTCTGGAACTTTACCCCACTGAAGGGTGAGCCACAGCCTGAGCTGTGTATGAGTGTGGAATGATGGAGAGGGGCAGGCTGAGGTGGGGTGATGCTTTGGGGTGAAGGTCACGGTTGGCAGGGAGGGTCTAAGAACACAGGGTTCATGTGGTGGTGTTTAGTTAGTGGCACATTCTGTTAGCACCTACTAAATGTTAGGCTTGTGCAGTGAATGGGGCCTTGCCTGGAGAGGAAACGTGCAGGAAGGGCAGGGCCACAGGGCTGGGGCGAAACTTGGGAGTCCCAGTGCACAGAAGAACAGCGAGGAGGTAGAACAGACTGGGCAGAGGACACCAGAAAACACAGTTACAAAGAAAAGGGATCTGCCTCCCAGATTCTCTAACCAATCCTGCTTCTCCAGGGGAACTCAGTGCAGAGAGGCTAGCATCCTAGGAAAGGAACAGCATCCTTTTCCCAAGTTCTCAACTTGCTCCTGTCCTGTCCTCACGTTGTGGGCCTCCATTTCATCAACTACAAAATGGAGATAATACTAGTTCCTCATCACTGCCCTATGAGGGGGACCAAGTTTGTTCCCATCTTACAGTTAAGGAAACCGAGGCTCTGAAGGCTCACACAGTAAGAAGTGGCAGGGCCTGAGCACTGTGCTGCTGGCTACTTCCCTCACCAGCCAGGACAAGTGCAAGCAGCCCTGTAAGCCCCGCCATGACCCTGGGGCAGGCAGCACATCAGGAGGTCCGCCGGTGCATCAGGAGGACAGTTGTTCCTGAGGAGATACAATAGGATTTCAAGCAGGAGAACCTGGAGGCAGATGTCTCAGTATGAACCCCATTTCTGAGGGATCTTGGGCGAGTCACTTCACCCCTTTTCCTCATCTGTAAAACGAAGACTATGAAAGTAACTATGTAAGTGTTTGCCATCATGGTTAGTGGAAGTATTTGGCCCCATATAAATAGCACACTGGGAAGGGAAATGGAAAGCCTTAAAAAAGAAGTTGTGAACAACACTTGTGGAATGGATGCAAAATAAAGAGGTGATTGGAAAGGCTCGATGATGGAAGTGATTTACTAACCAGAGATCTTCAAAAGATGACACGGGAGATGAAAACAATCCACCGAGGTGGAAAGAAAACCCCTCGGACCTAGTGCCTCTGACAAGGGAGAGGGTTCATGTCTCAGTGACACCGTCTTTGTGCTTCAGTTTTCTCACCTGTAAAGTGAGTGGAATAATAGAATCTATTTCATAGTTGTGGTCGGCTGAATATCATCTGCTCAAAGATACCCACATCCTTATCCCTAGAACCTGTGAATATATTCCCTTACACAGTTAAAGGAACTTTACTCTTGTGATAAATTAAGAATTTTGAGATGGGGAGATATCCTGGATTATCCAGGAGGGGCTGATGTAGTTACAAAGGTCTTTATAAGAGGGAGGCAGGAGGATCACAGTAAACTGCAGGAGATGTGACAATGGGAGCAAAAGGGTAGAGTAATGTGAAGAAGAGGTCATGAGCCAAGGAATGCAGGAGGCTTCTAGAAGCTGAAAAAGATGAGGAAACAGATTCTCCCCTGGAGCCTTCCGAAGGACACAGCCCTGCTGACACCTTCATTTTAGACTTTTGACATCCAGAACTGTAAGATAATAAGTGTGTATGGTTTTAAGCCACTAAGCTTGTGGTAATTTGTTACAGCAGCCAAAGGAAGCTAATATGATAGTCATGTTGTGAGGACTAGTGAGTTGATATATGTAACTGCTTCAGTGCATAGCACACAGCAAGTGCTCAATAAATGACAGCTCTCCTCAAAACAAAAACAAAAACAAGCAACCTAATCAAAAAATGGGCAGAAGACCTAAATAGACATCTCTCCAAAGAAGACAGACAGATGTCCAACAAGCATATGAAAAGATGCTCAACATCACTAATTGTTAGAGAAATGTAAATCAAAACTGCAGTCAGGTATCACCTCACACCAGTCAGAATGGTCATCACTAAAAAGTCTACAAACAATAAATGCTGGAGAGGGTGTGGAGAAAAAGGAACCCTCCTACACTGTTGGTGGGAATGTAAATTGGTGCAGCCACAATGGAGGACAGTATGGAGGTTCCTTAAAAAACTAAAAACAGACTTACCATACGATCCAGCAATCCGACTCCTGGGCATATACCCAGAGAAAAATAATAGTTCAGAAAGACACATGCACCCCAATGTTCATAGCACCACTATTTACAATAGCCAAGACATGGAAACAACCCAAATGTCCTTCAATTGATGACTGGATAAAGAAGATGTGGTCTATATACACAATGGAATACTACTCAGCCATAAAAAAGAATAAAATAATGCCATTTGCAGCAACATGGATGGAACTGGAGATTGTCGTTCTAAGTGAAGTAAGCCAGAAAGAGGAAGAAAAATGCCATATGATATCACTCATATGTGGAAACTTAAAAAAAAAGACACTAATGAACTTATCTACAAAACAGAAACAGACTCACAGACGTAGAGAACCAACTTATGGTTACTGGGGGGTAAAGGGGATGGGAAGGGATAAAATGGGAATTCAAAATCTGCCCCTCTTGGAGGGTGATGAAAATGCTAGCTATCTTGATTGTGGCAGTTGTTTCATTGGTGTATACATCTGTCAAAATTCATCAAATTGTGCATTTGAAATGTGTGTAGTCTTACAGGAACCAGTTCTGTATCATAGGAGAGCTAAGCACCCTCCCTGCAGGAGCTCATCTGATCTTCATAGCAATATGGGAGATCTGTGTCAGTCCGAGAGAAACCACAGAGTGACTTCAACAGAGAGAGTCTAATATAAAGAATTATTAACTATAACAGAGGGTTGGAGTAACAAACAACTGACTAGTAAGAAGTAAAGGAACTCTAAAGCATACTGGAATAGCAACTGTAAGGAGCAGCCCCCAGCCCTAGGGCTGAGCTGGAGCAGGCCTGCTGCCACAGGTCTGATGCAGACCTGACTGGAGAGGGCGCGGCTGGGGCTCATTAGATAGCAGAGAAGTTGCTGAAGTGTAGCACGCCCCACGGAACTTGCTGGAAAGCCACCCCCTAGAGTGCTGGGGAAAGCCATTCGTGGGGAAGCGTCTCGCTAAGGCGTTCCTCTCCCCCCACGGTGGAGGTGAGGGCTGCTGGCCACCTGCACTGCAGGAACCTGAGGCTGGAAGCACTGCCTCCAGGGTGCTGAGCTGGGGAAGCCGGTCCCTGATGCGGAAGCCAGCGAAAAGGAGCGCATCCACACCCGGAAGCAAAACCTCATCTTCAAGAAATGTGTGTCAGCGCCCTCTACTGGCAAGGCTTGACATTGTGTCATCTGGCAAAGGAAAGACATTTAAAGCGCCCAGATCCGTATTCACAGAGGAGGCAAACGTGATGAATTTGGAGCTGAGGGTCAATAAATTAATAACTGGCCTGGAAACATTAGTTTCATTTTTACAAGTGAGGACCCAGAAAGTGGAGGCAGCACAACCAGTGCTAGGATTTTCTTTGCTCTACAAAGCGTTTAGAAACAAGTTGCAAAATTATCCATCTTACATCATTGTGGTAATAACTCCACTAACTATAAATATCCACAGAAATACTCTCCAGCATGAAGGAATAGGTACGGAATGCCAGCGGTTTCCTCCAGGACAGGGGGATTACAGGGAGTTCTCCTTGTCATATTAGTAGGTTGAACAGTATGAAATTTCTGTGTTTATAGGTGAAAAATAATGAAATATTGGCAAATTCATACAGTTCAACATAATATTTATTTCTGTGACGTAATGTCTGAACTTTTCACAATAAGTGTGAATTCCTTTTGTAAGCAGGAAACTCTATATATAGGTGTATGTATAAACTTACACATGTGCATATATTTTTATTACAATAATACATATAATATAAGTGTATTATGTATATTATGTATTTTTCATTATAAGGACATACATATGTGTATATATATAATACAAATATATTACATATGTGTGGATGGATGTTTTGGAAAGTTCCTCCCTCCAACTGTCTTTTGCCAGTGGTGATATCTTTCCCTCCAATAAAATAGAAAATTTAAGTTTAGCAAACAGGGATCCAAAGACTTTGGGGGAAAATATTTCTTGTTCAATGCACCGAAGGGTCCCAGGAGCTACTTGCTTATGGTCCATGTTTTGTCTCTTGATGATTTACCACAGGATAAAACCTGTCAGTTGTGTTCTTTCTACTTATTTTATGAGATTTAAATCATAAAACAGAAAAGCTAGTACTAAACAATGGTGGATATCACAACCTTGTAAACTGAGTGTACTTCAATAAAAATATATTTTAAAAAACAAACAAAAAAACAATGGTGGATCTTATGTGGCAGTTATACAAATTCAATATTAGAAAGTATTTGAATTGTGTTTTGTCCTAATCTAAACATTGATAGTCAAAGAAAACATTTAAATGTCTGCAAATGTTTGCCTTCATTACTATTACCTTTCAAAAAATGGTTCTGTGGATTTTGTATTGTTTTTATGCCCATTTGTTTAGCAAATATAACGCCTAAAAAAGAAGCTATTGATGGTTCTGGCCTGTTGTGGCAGGCAAAATAATGACCTCCTAAAAACGTCCATATCCTAATTCCCAAAACCTGTGAGTATATTACTTAATCAATGGGGAATTAAAGTTGTAGATGGAATTAAGTTCCCTAATCAGCTGACCTTAAATTGGATTATCCTAAATTTTCCTGGTGGGCCCAAATATGATCAGAAGAGTCCTTGAAATTAAAGAGACACAATACATACCAAAAGAGAAAGGGCCAGGGACGGACAAATTAGGAATCTGAGATTAACTGATACACAGTACTATACATAAAATAGGTAAACAACAAGGACCTACTTATAGCACAAGGAAATATATTCAATATCATGTAATAACCTATATTTGAAAAGAATATATATACACACATAACTGAATCACTTTGCTGTACACAAGTATTGAAAATCAACTGTACTTCAATAAATAAATAATTATAGAATAAAAAATAATAAAGAGACACAATACAACAGAATATACATTTTTCTTAAATATACATGGAATAGTGTTCAGGGTAAACCACACACTAGGCCAAGAAATAAGCTTTAGTAAATTTTAAAGTATGTAAATAATACAAAGTATGTTCTCTGAACACAACTGAGTGAAATTTAGAAATCAATTACAGAAAGAAATTTGGGAAACTTT